TTCGGCCCCTTCCAAATCGCGCGGCGCTCCCAATTTCCTTCTCCTTTCACACTCCTCTTTACATTTATGGGTGAACTGCTCTCCTTTGCGATTAAATTCTTGCCAGATGGGGCAGTTGGAGCTCGTGTAACCATCTGACGCGCGGGGTAACACACAAGGTTTCCCAAGGCACCAATGCACTAGCCAAATAGTTTCAGCGTGCTTGCCCCAGGCCTGACTCCGCCGGTTTCTACACCTCTCCGCAGTTCTCGCTCCCGGAAACAGCTTAAGACTCGGACAAACATTTGCCAGCTGGGAAATGGCAGGCGCCAGCCTAATGCCCGGTGGGTGCGCGCTGGCCCCTCACCCGGATGAGCCCGGCTGGGCAAGCGCTGCTCCTCAGCTCTTGGCTTCCAGCACAGAGCTCCGCTCACTGCAGAACAGGGCAAGGAGGCCAGTCCTCACTGCCGGGTCCTACGGATGCTCTTTTGGATTTTCTTCATTCCTAAAAAAACCCTGAAACTAGATTTTTGGCCTAATTACTAGTCCAAACTAAAAATTTCAGTATATCGTCAGTTCTTTTTAGTCAAACATCAATAAGCCATCTGAAATGGAAAAAGCCTTCATTTCTACAAATACTTACTATTTTTATTATTGTTTTATATTTGTCAGATAAGAAGCTTTGGGATTTTTTTTTCCTGACTAGGTATTTTCTAGTTTAAATTTTAGGAACAACCTGTGAGTAGATTCAAAAGTCTAATTGAATTTCCTCCATGACTGTACATTGAGCATGAGATCCCACAGCTGATACTGCATTGAAGCTGATTCACAATGCCATGCTCAAGAAAAATATAGCCCTTGGTGGGATTTCAGGGCTAGATGGACTTTTGTAGGGCTCTTGTGTGTCTAAGTTTTACCTATCCATACAGAAAAATTTCTTGATTAACAGATGAAATTGATATACTACCTGCTTTGTTTCTCAATCAAGGGACAGATTTTAACATGACAAGAGATTACACCGGTTTAAGCATCTAAAAAGTCTATCCCCACTGATAAGAACTGAAGAAGCTGTTAATGAGTTTTAATTTCCATCTCTAGACCATAATTTGCTATGTCATGTTAAGTGACATTGGACTGAGCCTCAGTAAAAGTGTGCTGTGTTCAATGGCCTTCACATTTCACATCTCACGCATGAAATGGTCTAATGTTAATGGTCTGGAGGAGGAAAATATCAAAGGACACTTGTAAGCAAGTTCTTCCAGCTATGTGGGAGAAGACAGCTAGAAAGGGTATGGGTAATGTAAGATATAATGGTTTTAAACTCAGAGATATTAAATGGGGTCTTGCTTATGAGGTTATGAGTGAAGATAATTATCATCTGATGGCTCCCTAGTTTCATATATGAACTGAGTTTGGTCTGTTTTGTACTGACTGTATTTCCATAAAACATCACAAACTTGCAACGAGGATATTTTTTTGCCTTCTCTATAACTGGGCAGCAACAGATGAACTTCTGCCACTGGCGGTGGTGCCTGAACCCATGACACCAACATGTGATGATGGAGCATCTCCCCCCAGGCAGCTCTGAGGAACAAGACTGCACCTTCTTGCCCTGCTGACTTGGTTCCTGGTGGGACAAGGTAATTTGCATGGGGTGGAAATCGAATTAGCCCATTCCCCTGTAAATGAGATCCCTTTGTTTCAGGCTTCCAGACTTGGGTTTGCAGCTAAGCACCAGGCTAGCTCTCACTGAGGTGTCCTGCCCAGACTACCAGTCTGCCACTGTCACAAATCCTGCATGCACATGAGAAATTAAAGACAAAGGTTTTCCCTAAAGGACCTCTTTGTTCCTATCAACATTATCAGTGCATATTTACCTGTTTTTTTCTCTGTAATGTAGATGTTAGTACTTGAGGTAGAGGAAGATTCCTGATTTTTTTTTAATTTAATTTTTTTTTAAATAAGGATTTTTTCCTCCATGGAAATTCCTCAGGAGGATTTCAGTCTTTAAATGCCACAGAAACAGCTGATTTTCCCCTCTCTACTTCTGTGGCAAGCAATGGGATTCTCCTGCTCCCTGACTTACACCTTTATCATCTTCCCTACTCACCTCCTTGGGGAGCTGCAGGTGGCTAGACCTTAATTATTGCCAAAGAGAACCTGAGGGGCTGAGCTGGCCGGGGGGAGCACAGAGCACACTGTCACCTCTCCCTGCGCCTCTGAGTCGGAGCTGTGACACTTGTGGCTGCCGGTGTTACTCCAAGGCAATGCACTCCCCCAACAGCAGCGTTCCAGTAGTGCTGAAGTGTATGTGCTCTGTATTTTCACACTATAGCTGGGAGTGTGACTGACTGAGGCAAACCAAGAATAGCTGTGCTTACTACTCAGAGACAAACTATAAAGTGTTCGGTAATAAATATTACATATAGCAAATGCCAGTTTGCGATTACTTTATCTATATTGTACGTGAATGCAGACCTGTTTTTAGCACTGTTCATGCTGTGTGTTGTGGACTGCCAAAGGCATTAGCAATTTTGCACTATAAAATTTACTGAGCAAGCTAAATAGCCAATCTTTTTAAGCTGAGCATTTAGGGCTTTCATAAAGTGCACCAACTTTTCCGGAAAGAAAACTCTCCAATGTCAAAGAAATGCCAAGCTGGGCCTAGGAGTTTTTTGTGTATATAGCTCCACTTTTATTTTTTCCCCATCAGACTAGAACAATGACTCATTATATTAGGTTACTTCCACTTATTCAAGGAATAGTACAGAGGGATTTCCCTTACAAAGTTTCTAATCTTTTTAGTTTAACAAACGTTTTCTCTACCAAGTATAACCCACTTTCAGTCATCACTGATCAGGAGCCTCTTATAGTCTCTGTCTTAACAAATCAGGTTATGAATTACAAGGTAATCCTCTCAGGTTCAGTCCCTAGACACAGCCAAGGTTACTGGGTTTTTTTAAACACTTCAAATGGTAAAAACTGAGGTCTAATTTAGTTCAATACAAACCCACTTTGACATAAGTGAGAAAAAAAACAGTGAAAAATAGTCTAAATTTTCTAAACGATCAGAGGAGAAACTGTAAATTTCATCTTACTAAATCATTCAGAGATGACAACATTTATCCAGGTTGTAGAAGACCTGTTTCACACTCATTTTCTGTATTAATCAAAAGAACAGATCTATACCACAGCCCCTCACTTCACAGTTGAACAAGTTAATCGGTACCACATAGGATATTCTGAAAAATGTTTCCCTCATCCCTGCTGGTTGGAACCACTGTACTAAGGTAGACAATTACATATTATAAGGTAATCATAACCGAGAACAAGAATGCAAGAACAAGGATGCCTGGTGGCAAGGGGTCCTGGGGCAGTGGGTGATGTGAATTCAGTCGTCTCGGAGAAAAGGTTTGCACTTGGGTGTCCTGACATTTTGGATTAATTTGCAAGCCTCAGAGCTGCCAATCTAATAGAGAATATAGATCTAGCGGTGACATGTTTTACTTTCATACCTGACCCGACTTGACAGACTCCACCCGGATTCACAGGTGGTAGTAATTTGATGAAAAGCAAAACCACATTTTCTGTTTTACAGCTTGCTCCACGAAAAAAGAATCTTCCTCTTCTACTGAAGAAGGACTAATGCTACACATCTAGAAATCCTTGTTCCCATTTCTAGCTCACAGCTGGTTTATTGGGCCTGCCTTCCATCTCTGGCATCCTGCTATTCTGGTACTTCTGCCCTGAGATTAGGGGACAAAACTGGGGACGCCTGCGGGGCATAAGGCTCCAGTGTTTGTGCACAGAACTGCTGTTTTATCAGCAACACTGCTCCGAGAGGGATTATCAGAGAGTCATTTTAGTGCCTCCCAGTCTCTCTTCACTTTTACCCTTCCTGTGTTTTACTCTCCTCACATCTGCCTGCAGCTTGGCGTTTCGCTCATAGCCAGCCATTTACATACTCCTTACCATAACCAGTTCCTGATCTGTGGGCTGTTTAAACTCCCATGAATAAACGTAGTTACTGCAGCGTGCCAGGCACTGTGACTGGGAAAAAGCCAGGTTCTCAGAGGTCCTACCTACTCTCTACATTCTCTTTTATGCACATAGGCTCTTTACTTAATAAGGAACTTCCTATGGAATTATCATGGAATTATCACGTATAATGTTATCATGTACAATGTCGTTTTATAGATCAACCTGCTTAGACAACACACAAATCACACTGCAACATGCTATGGCAACACCACCATGCAAAATATAGGGGTTTTTGTTTCAAACATTGGGATAGTTTCCTTTGTGGCTGTTTATTTACTTTTTAGTGTCCTTTATTGACTTTGTCCCACTGAATCCAAATTTATTCCTGATTACAGTAGATTCAAAGCATATTACAGGAAGCCTTTACCTATAAAAAAGTAGTTAAAGAATTACAGTTTTGTTTTAACATGTGAGATATTCCCACAGCCTCACAAAACTTTGTTCTTTCACTGCATTTATTTCTTTTTTTTTTGATCACTAGAAAGTATATATATATATATTTTAAATACTTGAGGAAATACTCTTGAGCCTCATTGTATGGGAGGCAGTTTCTGAGAACTGCTTCTCCTTCTCTAGAAACTAAAAAACAAAAACCATGGTCTTTGCTGAAAGCTCTCATATTTTTCATTTCAACGCACATAGCTCCACTAACCAGGTCACAGAAAAAGCCACGGACGCACACGCACACACAGCAGCATCACCTGCACAATTCAACAGACAATGCAGACAAACTTGAGTATAATCCAAGATCTTTCTACCTCTTTTCATAACAGGTTAGTGCTCGCCCTCAGTGTTGGTGTACAGTTTTTATGGCATGGGAAAATAGGGATGTTTCTGCCCTACAAAAATAAATGCGTTGAATGCTTTAGTTTGAACTTTCACAATGTTAAAAAAAAATTCCAAAGAAACTGGATAAGTAAAAAGAATCTCACATATCAAGAAATCAGTGGATCTTTTGGCAGGTGGCAAGACAATGCCCACAGCAAATTTACCAGCTTTAATTCTTTTACCTTCATGAAATAGCTTTCGAAAATTATATATTAAAAAAAAAAATCAGTTCTTGTAGTCCATTACCAAAATGAAATCCCAATTCAACCCTTGCTCATCATCAGCATGAATTCTTTGATCCTGAAGAAGCTGTGCTAGACATTAAGGAAGATGGGGAAATTATTGTTGTTTATTTTTCCCTGTGTCCAATTGAAAAAAAAAATGGGACAAACACTTTTGTAGTAAAATGAAAAGGAGACAGGAAGGAAATCCAATGTATTCAAACTGTGTTAGACATAGTATTTTGGGAGGCACCAGAAAAAGGAACAACATCAAGCAGGTTTTCACAGGTTCTTTACTACAATTAAAAAAAAAAACACAAACCACCAAACAAAAAAAGTGAATAATTTCATGCTTCCTGTTGCCAAAATCGTGGCTCCCAAAGGTTCATTCCTCCATGTGTGACTACTGACATCAGTGGAAAAGGGACTAGGGAGGAGGGGTTGTAATGAAAGCACATTATAAAGCTGTCATTTCTAGGAAGATTCACAAACTGTGATAAATACACTTTTAACTGTCAGGTTAGAGAAGCAAAAAGGAAAGGCAGGGATCGGGGGGGAGGAGGGGGAGAAGGATGTCCCATCAGATTTACTAGTCTTCCGAGGCAACAAACTTACCACATTGCGTGTGAATTTCTCAAAAGATGTTCGACGATCCAGTGTGTTTTCCAACTTAAATTTAAAATAAAAAAAAAGAAACAAAAAGAAAAAGGAGGGGAAAAAGAAAAGCAAGAAAACATGGAGTAGAAAAGAAGGATCGATGAAACAATGGACTGCAAAACAAAGTTTGTATAAATCAGGAAGCAAACACAAGTATGAAGCTGCAATGGGACTCTGCAAAACAGGGCATGTGCAAAGTAGATATAGTATTTGAAAAAAATAATTTTTCATGGGGATCAAACTGGTTTGATTTAAAAGAAAAACTGAAAATAAAAAGAAATAATGAAGTGCACATCTTGTGTTAATGAACTGACATTCACAAACTTAAGGACTTCACACGGACAGTTGTAGCTTTCTGGTATTTTCAACATCTCTCTCTATATTGGATCTTCAGAAATCAATGTTTGAACAGAAAACAAAATCACACAGTACTTTCATATAATTTTAGCTTGTCATTATAAACAATAGAATGCTGTGGTGTTAATAACTACCTTGTTCTGGTAACGATCGGGGCCCTGATTTTGCAAGGCACCGGGTTCCCAGCTGATTCTAGGAGATCGCTATTTATAGAGCCCACTAATAAAATTATTTATCATTATAGAAATATGCATTGCACAAGCTGCTCCACATACTCTGGGCTGTGTCTATTCAGAACTCATTCCATAATCTGGACTTTGCTAAGCAAGTATTACATACCAAGACATGAGCCTCTGTTTGCAAGGTGTGACATGATCAGTCCTTCAAGTCAGATTCCTAGCCTACTCAAAACTATTGATGTAATAATAGGGAAAGAAACAGAATTAGGAAGTCCCTCTATTTATAGTTGAAATTAGAAGTTATTCGTATGAATAAGATTGTTTCTAAACACATTCTGTAGCTTTTATAGGTGGAATAAAGAGAACAACAAATATTACATAAGCAAACTTGCAAACATGAAAGACTATTCTTCTGGGATTTTATTTTATTTTTTTTAATGTATTTGTAAAGCACTTTGCAGTTTAAGGTGCTTCATAACAGAGAAAACAGTACAATATGGGATGTAAAAATAAAAATAAGTTTTGCTAGATTAACTTATTGAAACATGCCCGCATGCAGGATATATACACATATATGTATATTGAACTCCTGTGTGTATGTGACCCTCCAAACACGCCAAGCTGGTCACCTACCAGATATCCAGCTGCACTGGCACAGGGGAGAGAAGACTGAGTATTGTTGCAAACATAACCACCGCTTTGCACAGTGGCAAGACAAAGGCAAGATGGACCAATACCTTTTTCTTGGCCTGTAGCAGCTCCTGGTAGGCACTGGATCGTATAAAACGAGGATAAGAATCACTTTTCATCAGTTTGTAAATGTGCTCCTGAAAGGGAAAGAAGGAGCTGTTACTCCCGTGAAAGAAGACGGGTGAAAGGGGAGGCAGGCACACAGGTTTCGGCTGCGGAAGGTACACCAGCTAGCGCTATTCTGAGTAGGGCGTCTTCAGGGAGAGCAGGTTGCAGTTCTGAAGCCAAGGCTGTCGTGCTCCGTACTCTTAAAGCAGAAATCCCACCTGCTTGTTACGTATAAAGAACACAACACATCTTTCTTTAATTTTCAGTCCCTATTTCCACTATGGAATTATTTTTCTAAGACTTTATAACTGAGTCCTAGCTTAAGATCCAGTTCCAAACCTCCCTTACATTAGTCAGTTTAGCTAAGTGACTAAATCTGGAGCTGTGGATCCTTCCTCATCAGATTTTCTGAATTAGTTTCTGGAGATGCTTTTCTGACTTCAAAGGCTGGGAAAAGGTACTAAGTTTCTAATTCAGTGCCACAAATAAGTGATTAAGTTAGGGAGGATATCCCCTGGCTACTCTTGGAAACATCCCTTGACAGATGTTTATTCTGAATCCAGCTGACAATATAAGAAGGAAAATACATATGCAAATTGCAAAACAGTTCCAGGCTCATCTAATTTCCAAGATATTTATTCTTCAGGGGCATATGAAAATTTGGAAATCCTTACCCAGAAAACGAATGATACAGGCAGTTTATAGAGCTTTCCTTTTTGGAGCATTCTCATTGCTGTAAAATATGAAAACCTAAAAATCTATGATGTAGGACACTTTATAATTCCAGGTCTAGTTATAAAGTTAGAAAAAAGATTTGTAGAAAATGCAATCAGAATAGGAAATACTATCACAAAAAATATTTTAAAAAAATCCACTGAATTGTGTTAGTTATTTTTGTTTTATTTTTTACTCAAAACCTGCCTTTTACTATAGGAAATTTGCAGCACAGCAATCAGGAAACAGCAAATAAAGTGTAAAATAAATACTGTTTCTCAGCTTGGTACTGCATAAAATTAGGCAATAGAAAAAAACCCCAACAAACCAGCTTGTTTGAAAATTATGGAAAGGTGAAATTAAAGCTGATTTTAAATTTTGATTGTATTAGAAACTCTAGAAATTATTCAAAGTACTTTTCATTGTATTTCTTTCACTAAGCTAAGCAGAGAAATTCTAAATTCAGAACTTAGGCTGCTTAATTTGGAGAATTTTTATTCCACTCAGTTTCTACAAAAGGAGCTAATGCAGCCAACAGAGAGCAGAAAGGACTCTGCTCCTGTTGTACATATCAGTGGTGATGGGCATTACAATGTTATTTCTGTGCAAAAACCAACCCTGTAAAAGCAAGACTAAATTAAGCTGACCCTGACCCTAATTGTTAATGTACATATTAGTCAGAAACTGAGGCTGGATGTTATTGAGCACAATCGGTCTATTTTCACTTATGCATCACTCTCATTTGACGTAGAGTTCCACGGTGCCATCTTTCAAGTCCAGAAATCTTTTCAAAACATTTTTAACAACAATTAAATGACCTGCCGACTGCCAGAATGACTTGTAAGTGGTCTCTTTCCCAACTGGCAGGCCGTAAAGAGCCTGTTGCAGAGGCAGAGCCCTACACCTGACAAAACCCTGCCTCTTCATGTGGGGCACTCTGTAAAGGGCCTAAAGCTTCAAGTCAGAAGGTGGCAGGTACAGTCTGCCACCTTTCCCCAGAGAAACGGAGGCTTCCAGATTCAAGTTGTATGCTCAACCGGATCAAATAAGCAGAGGTCTGACAGGAGGAAAAATCCTGCTTGCATAGAGACTGAATACTCCACGTCTTTCATAAACGAAGGGGGAAAAAAGAGAAGAGAGATCTGGAAGTAAAATAGTGTTGAGATTTTACACCTATTTAAAAAAAAAAAAAAAGGATACTGGCAAGGAGTTGAATTGTCCTTTACTTACTCAACTGCAGAGACATATTTTTTTAAACACTTAATTTTGCTAGATTGTTTATTTGTGTAACTTATGTCTTTGCTATATACTGCATTCCTAAATCTCCTGGGGGTCAGCAGATGCAAGCAAAACCTGTGTGTTTGGCTTAATGCAGAGCACTTCAAAAGAGAGGGTATGATATAGTATCTAGTGAAAACTTTATTATATAGACTATTTTATTATATAGACTAGCATCATAGGTTGCTAGTCTCATAACAGCAAAATGAAAAGCTAGTAGAATTATTCCTCCTCCTATTTAGGGCAGAGGCACTTTCCTCACACTAGAAAGCCCCAATTTAATTCCCTTCTCTCCTTTGTGGGACTTGCAGTAGCATCTCCTGACTCCCAAGATGATGACCTAATAATCAAGCTGTAGGAGATTCTGCAGGGATATGATCTCAATCTCTCCTTTTGACACCATTTCACTTTACATTAATAATTAAATTTTCATCACTGATGAAAAAGGGAGGATGGTACTGGTTCTACTACTTTTGCTGTCAAATCAGTTCTTTTCTGTCGCTTTTCTCAGAAGTCTGCAAAGATGAAATATTAAGTTATAAGCCACATGAATTGTCCCATTTAATACAGAAATACTTGTTTTTTCTTCTAAGGAAAACCAAGATTTGTATTTTACCTTTTTTTTTTTTTAATTTTTACTTCCAATCTCAAAAATATAAGGATTTTCACAAATCTAGCTCTGGTCAAACATATCTTTTGATGATGGTATTCAAACTTTGTCTAAATCAGACCCCAAAAAGCCAAATAAGACATTTACAGACTGTTCTTTACTGCTGTAACACTGAATATTGAAGTGCAAATCTTTAGTATTCTTTGCCCAATGTTCTGTAGATAGTAGTTTAATAAGGTATAGAATATACAGCAGCTGTGAAATGTGATACTTCTGCACAAGCTGTTACAAAATGTTGTTTCTCACATGGGTCAAATTCTTTTCATTATGGGAATCTATGACTCCTATAAATGATAACAACACTTTTGGACATGCATTGAGAGAGTAGCCTGTGTCAAGGGAAGTCTTTCAGAGACAGATCTCAAGAACTAGAAATCAATGTGTGTGTGTGTGGAGGATGCTTTTCTCTTAATGTAACTGAATAATAAAATTAAGAAAACAGGAACATGAAAATATCATTTTCACTACACTATATGCTTTGCAACTTGAAGCCCACTTGAAGACTCTCTATCAAACACAGAAGTTTCATGAAAAGCTTTAGTAATTCATAGGTCTCATGAAAGAAAAAATGTTACCCATTTGCATTACCAAAATGGCATTTTAGGAAACAGAGCATTACCATTTAATTCCCAAATATAATGTATCTTATGTACATAGATCTCACTAGCCAATATTCTATTTCAAATGTCTCTAAACAGGATTGGAAACTGACCTGAGCGTCTTCAAATGTGTATCTTCCAGGGTCCTTTACATTCTGAGTGGTTTTGTCGTAACTTTTTGAATCTAGATTGATAGCGCTGGGTGCACCTGGAGCAAGAAATTCTTGCCAGATTTCTTGGACGCGAGCAGGAACTTCACGGATAGGCCTCTTCTTCAGGTCTTCTACTGCTAACCAGAACCTATGGCACAATATAGCATCTTGACTTCCAACTCAGTATAATCATTAATGAAGTGCTTATACTCTTCTTTGCTCTTAAAAAAAAAAGAAGTAACTGAAGTTTTAATCCAAAACATGCTAAAGTAAGAAAAAACTGTGATTTTATGTTGGGATCAGCATTCTGGTATACCATCTCAGGCAAACAATCCACTTTAAGAAGCAACTATTACAAGCCTCTTCATGAGATGGGTGGGAAATCCTTCATTATTTATGTGTGGGTAACTTGCTTAGGGGAAGGTTTCCATTTAAATGGAATCAAACAGAGATTTCATTTCACCTGAACTACAAGGCTAGTATCTCTTATAAATGTGTTGCTTTTTGACATTCTTTCAAAAGCTAATAAGAACTTATGTTCTTGCTATCTAGATGAATCTCTGAGTCCTGCTAAACTATAAACTGTGTAATGTAATTTTATTACTATTACTCCACAAATCATGTAAAACTGGGAAAGCATTTGTTTTGCCTGCTGTAATTTAATTTCTTTCTTCAGCATTGCATTTCTATGCATATTTTTACTAGAATGCTGAATGGAAATGCCCATTCTTTCTTCTTTTCTGCTGCTGAGCAAACCAACATTGGGCAGCCACAGACAGTACAGGCCAGTTCATTGTGCCCTGTCACTCAGACTGGAGCAGGATCACTAAAAAGGTCTTGAGCACTTTGTGATTACAGCTAGCTAGCTATAAGCTTTGACATTCACTTTTCATTTGCTGTTATGATTGCTTTGTCATTATTTCTTCTATCAGTCTTCAGAGTCTCTCACTGCACAAAATAATTCGAAATTCAACTAGGATCCCATGCTTAGACATGGTGAAGACCACTTAGTTCCCCCGCCACCTTGCCTGAGAGCTCAACAAAAGTTTGACTTTGTTAAATATGCAATACATACCATCACAACTTTTTGTTTTTGTTTTGACACAGCTGATCCTATGAAACAGATAAGTTGAACCTTGAAGTGAGTTAACTGTGAAATAAGTTGGATTTTACGAGGCTGACAAGTAACTTGAGAGCACCTTTAAAAATTTGGTTCCACTGCGCTTACACTGTGAGGTCAAACTGAGCTCTCTCAGCTTAGTGAAACAGGGATGGGACAGGGGAGAGAAACAGTAGAATTGTACTCAGACCCCCCAAGAAAGAAAAATTATACTACCCTCAATCCAAATTCTAATATAGTTATTGAAACAACTCTTAAAGAGGTGATAGCAAAGCATAGCAAAGAAAACCTTACGGTATTCCTCCTATAAGACATTCTTCACTTGAGATGATTTACCTTCCAGGAAGCAATTAGTTCTTCATAGTTCTGTTTTGCAACTCCTTTGTAGCACAAATAGAAGGACTCTGTACTCGTTTCTCACAAGCCATTATGGTCAGCTTCACTCTACTGAGATGACTATTTTAGGTATTTCTACACCCTTCAATTTCCAGAGTATCTCAGCACAATCTTTCTGTATATTGATCCCTTCTCCAAAAGACAGAGAAGTAATATTGTCCCAGTTTTGCAAATCCATTAATAACGTAATAATGTACAGTGGTTTCTCCAAGGTCACAAAGGGAGTCTGTGCCAACAGAAGAACTTCAGTTTCAAAAATTCTGGGTAGCATCACTTATCTCTATGAACTGCAGTGTGAATCGAACATAGATCTGCAAAGAGCCTGGGGACGTATCCCGAGGATCTGATGGCAATGCAGTAAGAATAGAGGCCTCATAACTCACATTTAAAAACTGCACAGCTCACAAACTCTAATTCAGTTCACTCTATCAAATTTGGGCAACCTACTTTGGTTTCCCTAAGCTGCTTTCGATATTTGCATTTAAAAGTGTATATCCTGCAGTGCTAACTCCTTCAAATGCATCTTCTGGCACTGACTGATTACTCATGTGTATCGAAGTCAGGTAAGGAATAGGAAAATGAAAGGGAAGGATGTTCTTTGTAAACACACATTTTCTATCACCCTGCAGACATCCTGAGGATCTAGCTCAAAGCCGTCACATTCTTGTTTGTTCCATTATATCCTGCCAATACCTCTGGAAGTCACCACAAACATGCCTCAGGATGCTATTTTCTTTTCCAAGTAAACAGTTTCGATATAGTAGGTTATACTCAATTATGGGGAAATAGATGGGAGATAAATTTAGCTTCTTTGAGGAAACATTCAGCTTCCAGCATAGAATAGGCAAGCTGTATAGACACATCCTTACAGGTTGAACACCAGCTCTTTCACAGATTAATTTTATTCTACCCTTCTAACATTAGCATTCAAAGACTCTATTTAAAATGTGAGGTTCTAAATATAGAAACCTCCATAAAAGTGGGAAGAAAATGCTGATTTCTGTGGTATGTTATGTCTAGGGTACTTACTTCATGGCCAACACACATTTTAACATTTTAATTTACTTATCTTTCAAGAAAAAATGCCTGCCCTCCTCCCACAGAGAGTTAAAGTCAAATATGCAAAGTTAAGAAATGCCAAAAATAAGGCTTCCACCTCTTGCATTTTCAAAAATAACTTCTCTGAATATTCCATGGCAACCAATAGCACAGATCAAGTTGAAATGGAGTCTACAAGACCTCAGCATAGGGTGAGCTCCCTGTCGCCTTTTACAGCTCTCTGTCTCGTGAGCTGTGAGCAGAGCAAGGGAAGACTCCTGCAGCAAACAGCATGCAGTCTGCAACAGTAAATATGTGCAAGGGCAGGAGAAGGAAGAGGGGGAACCTGACTGTATTTTGTGGACAATGTTATACAGAGACTTAGTGCTACTTCGTGGAAGGAACTTGAGCTCACTCTCTCTGCCCTTGGATGAAACTCTGTATCTCCTCTTGGCGGAGGTTTGCTTTTGCCATGGAGACCCTCTCTAGAAGATGCTCAGTACTGTTTAAACAGAGACCTGAGCAGCTGGGTGTAAACCTCGCGGCTGTCTTCTGTCCCAGCATTTGGGCTGCCACACGCTGGATCACGTGCCAGACGTATAGCTGAGTGAGAGTCTATTGCATATGATAGTCATACATCCAGCCACATGACACGGTAAGACACATGTTGCAAGACATCTGGGGATTATGTAGTCTAGCTGGATTACTTTCAAAGTGAGGGTGGCCTTGCCAGATAAATAGCACAGCTGCAACATGGATTCTGACCCATTAATTGACCTAAATGTCAGATGCAGCCATTAGCAGATCCCAGATCAAGCTAATCAGTTAAATTTAGCACATAGGAACACAGAGTGAGAGAAAGGCTGCAGTGGTTCTCCACTAAGTGTGTGAGGTTTAAGCAGGGTATGGAGACAGTGAAGTGGGAATTACATGGTCTTTGCACCCAGTGCATGTGACAGAACTTTCACAATTTTCAGCAAAAGCAAACAAAAACCTTAACAAACTCCATGGAGAAAATCAGCTAATATTTTTCTAGGGGCAGGAAAGACTACACTGATTCTTGGAGTCCACCTTTTTTCCAAGTACAACTTCAAGCTTCAAAATGTAGTAGTGCTAAAGGTCTTAAGAAAATGACAGAGAAAACCATTAAATCTCGTAAGTAGTTCTTTCTCATCTAATCTGCAGAAATGGCAACATTGCTGGGACTTGAAGTTTAAGCTTGAATCTAAGTGAGAAATAAAGCACAGGCAATTTCAGCCTTGAGGATTAAATTTCAGTCAAATTATCGGCACCCAAGACAGGTTCTCATAATGAACCATATGAAGGATAAACATTACCAGTCCCCATACTGTGCGGGAAAGTGTCATTACCAACACTGTTCAGACTTGCAGGACAGACATCAAGGACAGTTAATCAGTGTTCGAACTTCCTAACATGCAGAACTCTCTTCTCCACCATCAGTGAAGACAGAAATATGTTCCATTTAAAGTAATCAGGAGTGATGATCAGTAATAAAGAGCAAAAAAGTGTAAGTGAAACAGGCTGGATTAAAAAGAAAATATAACCTTTTGCACCATTCTCCCTCTTCTCTAGTAAAAACACTTTTATGGTGTTATTAAAAAAATAACCATAACCACTGAACTAAGTTAAACATAAAATTAAGCACTATGACTGAAACAGTTTGTAGGCAACACTGCAAATTAGTTGTCTATATGCGGGGGTTTATTTATTTTTTCTAGAGGACATAATTGAAGCTTCTATCTCCAGTATAGAACATTTCTACAACAACTTAAATGGATGAGTCCAAAATAAACACTTCACAAAATCTCAGCTTGCAGGAGGATAGTCAGAGAAAAATTATGGAGAGAACACTTCTAAATCTAGCTAACTCCTCAGTCCCTCTCTTCTTTTTCTGGACAACCAGAACTCAAAGCTCCTTTTTGCTATTTACTCACACATCATGGAAGCTAATAAATGAATCAAAAGAAGAGGCAAGGGGTCCAGCGGCTTTCCTTCTGTGCATCATGGAAGATGTCCTGTCGCCACTTCACTAACCTAGTGGGCTTTTGCCATCTTAGCACCACCTGGGAAATCACACCTACTGCAATACTGCATAATGACTTGGACAGACTTTCAGGTTGGCAGGCCTGAAAGCCTTTGGATCTTTACAGGCTGCAATTTCTACAAAACAACCACTTGGGAGCAAACGTACAGTCAGCATATGAATATATATTTCCAAAGAATTCTGCAGCATGACAGACAAAGGAAGGATATGGAGAGGAATGAGGATTTTCTACACAGATGAAAGAAATTAGCTGCCCAGGTGCCATATTGCCGTAAGATTCATTTCACTATCTCTTTGAAAAGTCCTTTTTCAGTGCTTGGACAGCCTTGTGACCAAGCTCAGTAGTGTTGGATCATGCTGCCTTGTGAATTTCAAACAATGGTCACCATTTTTGTAATAGACAGTGGGAATTTTATAAATGTATTGTCCAAATCATATGTTACTTTAGCTATTTGTTTTGTGTAGTGAGCAGTATGCAAAGTGATCCCTCCAAAAAATCTACATGGTAACAAGAGATTACAAGTCACAGCCTGTGTTAGGTGAACGTAGAATCCACCCTGGGTGTTAGCAAACTGCAATCACACTGTGATTGGGGAAGGTACCACACTGCCAGGACTGCTTAGACAGTTTTATTCCTTTGCTGCACTTTACAACACCCCTTTAGGGAGTGACATACTATTAATCCTAATTTACAGGCAAAGAAAAAAAGCACAGAGATACAGAATAAGACGGCAAAACCTGGTTGCATTCCTGATCATTGCACAATTCTTAGTTTTAACTCACAGCTCATTTCTTCATCCCTGTTCTGTTGCTTAAGACAGGATCTATATCCACTAAATGAGATTCTCAGACAGCTTAGACACTCTCAGTCTAGGTTAATGAAACAGTAACACTGGGACTTTTAGCTACATAAAATAATCCCACATCCCACTTGCATAGAAACGGTGTATCTGATAGACTTATCATTTCACATTTCTGGCATTTCTTTCACCAAAGTGAGGTATAAGACTTTTAATCAATGAATACTGAATCTGTCATGTCTGCAATCCCTTGCTGTATCCTGTGTACTGCACTTGGTAGCTTGAATCCAGGGTCTCAGCTGTCCATCCCACTGTAGGTTTGATGGTGTTTATTGTAAATTTTATCATTATTAGATCTGTAAAAGGATAAGAGCCAGCTATTGACTTGAGTTCACTTTGTTGCAGTGGGAAAATGTGGATGGAAATAAATCTTTTTCTCATGGTGGCTGTCAAATCCCAAAATAACCACCCCCAAAAAAACAAATTGCCACAGTGCGGTTCACAGGTGAGCAAAGAAATTGATGGTCTTTTAAATTTAATGTTTATTCAGCAGTAATGTATGAAACCATCAAGCTTTACATTTCTGTTACGGAGTTCTATAACATGTTGACTCCCATACACAACAAGCTTTACAAATTCATGCTTTCTAACCTGACTTTACTGTGTCAGCCTAATGGTGCATTGATTTCCCCACAGTTTGAGAATTCATAAACATAATTCTGAGCTTGTGAGACAGTTTTCCTTCAGTTAATCATCACAGAGAGCACCTTTTTAGTGCAAGTTTGATCCCCTGCCCAGTCCTTCCCAGGGACGGCCTTTAAGCTCATATTTTATAATACCAATATAAGAATCAGGAGAGACAGAAGAGTAGATGGCATGTCAAGGAATCATCTCTGAACAAATTTCTCTAGGGAATTTTTCTGGATCAGTCACTTGCAGTTTGCCTGTGGTTAGTGTTGTAAATAGGATTAGAAGAAAGAGCTAGGGATTATGCGGGTAACAGTCTCGTTGGCAGAGAGACAAATTAATCACAGAATAGCATAGAAACTGCAGCACACACTGGGCTGGATAGGTTTATGTTTGAACAGCTGCTCTCCATAAGGAATTACCAGGATGCTCTTTAAATAAAAAAAATTATTTTCCTTTTCTTGGTATTATTCAGATTTTTAAAATTTAATTCTACCACTTGGATTTTTTAATAAGAAAAATCTGTATCTGTCACTAATAAAGTTATCAACATACACATACAGGTCAGGCCATATTTCCATGGGAATAACAGCAGAAAAATCAATTGGAAAATATCATAAGGTCTAGAGTATCTAATATACATTTGTGATGTAAAATTCAATGTTTGAATATGAACATGATCAGCAACTTAGAGAAGTGCATCTCCAGTTGCTCTGCTGACAAACTTAAATTATCAAAGAGGTATGTGCAATTACTCAGCATTTATGAATCATCACCATAAAATGCCTCTTGTAAGATGTTACATAAATGTAACTCTAGTATGAAAGGCTATGCTGCACCACTTTGGAGTATGAACTGGCATAGAAAAAAAAGTAGTTTAGGATTTTTCTGAGTTCTAAAATGTGTGCAAACAGGATTTTATACTCCTTATGCTATTGATGAATGGGAAGTGATATAGATGATATCTGACAAGAGGATGGAATAAAGAGAAAAATATGTTGTACATGCTTTTGTACTCTGTGCAGTTTGACTTGTCTATAGAAAGGCTGTTACTAATCCCTCTCAAATGATTCTTACTGACATATGACTTCCTTAGAACAGCAACAACAAAACATGTTATTAGCCAATGGATGGACTATAATTTTTTAAAATCAGATAATTGTTCTCCCTCACTTAAAATTAATTCTGTATATATTCTGTAAAATTATTTAAGCTTCATACACTAGCAGAAGCTTCCTATTTTGCAGCTAGTGAGGAATTTAAGAGCTAGTTGTCCCACTACTTCTGTTGTGTCAGATCCATGAATACAATCTTGGTGGAGATTCTCAAAAGACCAATGATCTCCAGAAACCTGACCAACAGTGCAAATCTTAGAATTTTACTTTTAAAGCTTTTGTTTATTTTTTAATAAATTATCTTTTTTAATTTTACTCTTCTCATAATATTGAAATTTGTAAAAGATACTGAACAGGCTTTGAATGGGTCAATGTTTTAAACCTGCTTAATAAAATGAGCCAAGAGAAAAGCTCTTACATGGGTAGTTTGACTGAAAGTCGGACATGAATGGGAAAATATGCTTCATGTGAATCTCTGCTAACTATATCAGTCTTTCCCTCAGCCTGAATATGGGAGTAGGCAGCAATGTGCATGAATGGATTCTGAAAGGTAAGACAGAGGAAAATTTTTGGAGCGATCAAAAAATGAAAAGAAAGGTATCAGACCAAAAAAACTGCCAATGTATCTTACAAGCTATTAAAAAATAAAGTCCCTCTCATTTACCTTAAATTTTCTGAACTGAATTCTGACTCCAGGAATTTGAGAAACTGCTCTCTTCCCACAGGGTCTTTCAAAGCTTCATCCATGCCAAACCCCCATCGTTTCACCCTCTGCTGTCCTGGCTCTTTGCTATAGAAGGAAAAACAACAGAATCCAGAATCAGCAATACTTCAGTATTCTAATACTCTGTGTTCATAATTTAGACTAAATCTTAAAGCTCAACCACAGATTTCTCACCTTCCAGATTGCTCATATTTTTTGCAATGTTCAGAGATGAGCAACTAGGCTGTTAGTACTTATGCAGGATGAAGGTGATACGCATGCATTTACACAGAAGAATAAGGACTTCCAACTAGGAAATGGTATCAGATTTTAAAAGGTGTCTTTTTTCCCCACACTGGAAGCCTAGAAACAAGTTACTGTAACTTTTTACACAGGTTTATTAATCCATAGTTCTGTCCATCTTACGAAACTGTAGAGCTGGAAAGCCCAAAAGGATAGTGCATTGCCCTTCTGCCTCAGTATTTTGCTGCAATACCTGTCTGAAATCTTCACGTTTCAAGAAAAGCCTGTTATACCACCTTATCCCAAAAGAAGAAATAAAATTATATACCTTGCCTCCAGTTCCCAGAAAGTGGTGTCATCTGATATCCAAGGGTTAGAGGGATCAGGGGGCACAAGAAAAGGATCATATTCCAAATACTGCTCTGTATAAGCTAATAGGCTAGGAAAACAAAAGAAACAAACATTATATCAGGAGGTGAGGAAACCTGATCAGGTTACCCCAGTTAACAGGTTACCTTGCATCAACTGAACCATGGTAACTGGGTGTGCACACACTCAGAAGTCAGCTACAAGCTCAGGCTAAAATAGATTTGCTCAAGCCTTTTGAAAGCGGACCTCTGAAGGAGGAGGGGTGGGAGCTGAAATAAAATAAACTGCAAAGTTCCCTAATACTTCCACATAGCTCCTTTTAGGGCTCCTTCAGGCACTAATAAATTAAATCCAACAACCTCTTCCATGCACATTTGCTTTCATAAAGGAACATGTTTTATACCCCTCTCGTTTTAATTATCAGTTCCTTTAAAATCTGTTCTAAAATACTGCACGCTGCACGCTATTAAGGTCATATTTATTGGCCCTGCAGTTTCTAGGACTCCTTTTTTCCTCTTATAAATACAGTTAATATTTTTATTATTTCCTAATCAAATGGCACTACTTCCAGGTTTATTGCTTTCCCAAAAAAACTTTTTTCTCCCAAATTCTTTGTTATTCATGAATTGGTCTCACTCAGTTGAACACACTAAAAACTTTGCTTGCATTCTGGTAATATACATCTCCCATGCCATTATTCCTACTTTCTGTTTCCTTTTGCTTCATAATTATTGAAAAATTACTGACAGGTGAGAACAAATATTCTTTCTTTTCACCCCTATTTATATTATATTTAGTCTGCATTCCATTTTTACTCTTCAGCAAACATAAATTCTTAACCTGTTCTCTTTATAAATACATATTTATATGTGTTTGTGTCTATGTACACATACACATATAAGTAGACACACATGCACAAACGTATATGAGAGGATGAAGAACCATTTGTATTTGGCTTAGTTTTCTTTACTAAGTCTTACACAGCTCGATTTTCTGCAATTTTCTCTACCTCTGTATTTGATGTGCAAGATAGAGCATTCCTTTTCTCTATCTCTTCTTTACCTAAGCTGTAGTTAGTCTTTCTGAGGGCCTTTTTGTTTTCTTTGCTTTCTGGCCCCTTCCTGACAAATTTTGGTCACTTTGTTCAAGCATCGAGCTCCGCACCCAGTCCACTCCGCCAAGAGTTCCCTTGCTTTGTCAGTGATTGCCCTTCTGAAATATCAAAACAGTAACCCCAGACCTATTTCCATTTAGCCTCCCTGCCAATGCAAGGTGAAACTTGTGACCACTTGGTCAGAAGCTCTTTCAGTGACTCTTGGGTTTATCAGAAATAAGGGAATGTCTGGGTCATCTTTTATCAATAAAAGAACTTCATACATAAAAGGATCCCATATAAAGTAAACACTCCTCAGTTATTTCTATGACACCTGAGCTCCCTTGCGTCTCTTTCTTTGAAGATATTTCATATTGACATTTTCCCAATAGTTATCAGTCTAACTGAAAAAACAGAAGATGTGACAATATACTTACCTCTCTGCAACCTTTGACATTTTTAATCTATGTCTGTCTAACTGCATTTGCCAGTGCTTAATCTGCAAGAAAGGAAGTCAAAGAGTGTTGTGAGTAATTTGTTGCCTGACTCTATTTCCATAACTTTTTTAGTAGGGTTGTAGTTTAACCTTAATTTATCCTAGGGCACAGAAAAGAAATATAACTGAGTTGAAACAACATTTCACCAGTGTAGTTTTAACATAAATGGAATTTTCCATCAAAGAGAAAAGATCACACAGAGACAAAAAAAAGGACCCAATGTAACATTTTCCCTAAAGATTCATCAACAGAAATACAATCAGCCTTTTTTAAGATTTTTGAAGATATTCACTAGTTCTTCAGACATTTACCTTCTCCCAGTTCTTACACCTCAGGAAAGAATAATGAAGCATAAACAGGAGATAAATGTGTGAACCCATACATGCATACACAGAGAGGTAAGTATACCCCCAAGCCTCAAATCAGTGTTGAAGAGCAAGTTGTCAACTGCTAAAGGGGCCCATGGGCTTAGCTATGCAAAGAACCCACTAACTGGCCTGCTGCTAACTGCCTTCAACTGTTTAATGCAAGATACAAAAAATGTCAGGTTTTGTCTCATTAGTTTTATTTGAAGTTACATACCTAAATCCGTATATCCTGAAACAAGGAAAAGGTTTACTAAATATTTTCTAACTCTGTTCTGAACATAACATTCCCAGTTATGCCAATTTTTGGTTTAATACCTACTTTCCTAAAAAGTTCATTTAAAAGTACATGTTTATAGTGATTTTTCAAACCTCTTGGTGTAGTTCATCTTCTGTGGGTGGCTTAGTCTCTGGTACTGGTGTGTGAGTAGGGCTGTGACTTCGAATGTCATTTTGCAAGCCATAGACAGACTACACAAAAAATATGGAAAAATGATAGTTGCTTTCAGACAATGCTTTCTACACATACCCATAGTAACTGTGACGTTTTAGCACAGCATGCTCAAGAAGATAGCCAAGATCATCTTTTTCTAAAGAAGCTGCAAATAAGCCATGCACTCAGATAAAATTGTGCTTCTATACCATGGAGTGAAATAAAGACTCCTAAAACCCCACAATTTCATAATGCCATAGAACACAAGATCTACTTTTTTACGTCACTATATTAACGGCATAGTAAACATGGGGGATGACAGCGAAAGGCAGCTATTACAGTAAGTAGAGATGACCAATAGGAAAAGAAGAAACAGTATCCTGAAAAGTAGACTATCACAATGGGTTATTTGGATGACTCACAAATTTGCAACTACTGCTTGGTAAATTACACTAATCTGGACCTCTCACTACCATAAATAAACTACCCTAAAACTTTTTCTAAATACATGTTCCTTTTTAAAACACATTTTGCCATGGCTTGACATGAAAATATACCTCAAAGGAGTACTTTAAAGCTGGAGTCAATCTGCATTATTATGATACAAAGGATTTGAAAGGAAGTGTTGTTCCAATCCATACACATATACCTAGAGAACTTACACTGTCCATGTCTGGATCCTAGTTTAGATGAAGCTAATTCATCATTTGGGGCATAATTGTAAACTAGAGACAATTATGACAATCTTTTCATTAAGATCAGCACAAGAAGAACTGCTGTTATACTGTACACTGCATTTTAAATTTATTTTTCCTTAATTACTGACAGAAATATTTTAACATGTTTATTCAATCTACTAAACAACATCAATAAAGCATGCAAAAATGAATTTTATTTTCATATTCTCTATGTATTTCTCCAAAGCCTTTCTTATGTGGTAGCATTTACTTACTATTAGCAAATTTGTAATAATAATTTGTTTAAGAGCTTATGAAATAATAACATACATTCATATATTTGTTCTTCGCAGCCGCAAGAAAAAAGTGTTTTAAGAAACCATGGAACTTCATGCTATAAATTACCTCCACCTCCTGTTTTTGATATAAAAACAGTACTTGCCTTTCTTGTTTTATGTGGATTTCTCATTCTTGAAGATTTTTTAATATCGACTTCAGTCGTGTTTACACATCCAGGCTATTAAAAGAGAAAGAAAGGAAAGCACAAGGATAAAATCTGCAAAGAAACTCCATACTATTCTCATTGAGATACTCCTCTTCAGTTTGTAAGGCTAAGAAAAGAAATCACCAGAGGCATTGTACTGGGTCTGGCTGAGATGGAGTTTTCCCCACAGCAGCCCTCCTAGCGCTGAGTTTTGTATCGGTAGCTAGAACGGTGTTGATAACACACCAGTGATTTGGCCACAGCTGGGCAGTGCCCGCACAGCATCCAGGCTGCCTCTCCAACATGCCCCCCTCACCAGCAGGCTGGGGGTGGGCAAGATCCTGGGAGGGGACACAGCCAGGACCCAAACTGACCAAAGGGATAGTCCACACCATATGACATCAGCTCAGCAATAAAAGCTAAGAGGAAAGGGGGCAGGGGGCATTCATTACTATGACATTTGTCTCCTGGAGCAATGGCTAGGCGTACTGAAGCCCTGCTTCCTGGGAAGTGGCTGGACATCACTTGCTGGTGGGAAGTAGAGAATAACCCTTTTGTTTTCCCTTGCTTCCATGTGGCCTTTGCTTTTGCTTTATTAAACTCCCTTTATCTTGACCCACAAGATTTTTCCATCTTATTTTCTCCCACCCTGTCCTGCTGAGGACAGGAGTGATAAAGCGGCTCAGTGGGCACCTGGCATCCAGCCAAGGTCAACCCACCACAGGCATATAACTACTTGATGTCCTTCTATAATAGTGTCTAAAACCTAAATAATATATAGTCTAAGAAAACATCTCAAGTACCATTTTGTCTGGCTTATTGTAAGAAAGAATCTTTTGCTATTCAGCCTTGTTTGCTGGACCCTATGATGGTTTTTAGGACAAGTCTTACTGTATATCTTTATGCTGAAAGTCGTGAAAGCAATGTACAGAGGAGCAGAAAATATCCAAATGCATATTATAAGACACACTTGCAGGACAGGTACAATTAGTAAATTGATATTTGGTAATTTTGGAGTGAGACTCCAAGACTGAAGACCACATGCTTAGAGCTCATGACAGCATGAATTTGAAATAAAATAAATTCTCAAGATAAAAGGCTAACCTGAAGACTGGCAGTCTAAACAGAATGACTCTCAATACATCTGGTTTGGCCTTCAAAGATTCATTCTCGCAACTCTGTAGAATCCCAAAGGTCACAAGTCCTCTAGTTTCTTCTAATTCATCTTTCTTTGACACTTCTTTCTAAGCACCAGTTCCGTGCAGAAATTACTTCTTTACCCATTGCTGGAAACAGCTAATAATAAGTAAGTGTTATGCTCTTGGGTGAGTTTTACCTATTGATTCCAGAGAGCTTGCATTTGCCACTGAGAGTGGGAAGTACAAAATCTGCTCTCTAGTAGAAGCAGGTTTTTAGTGAAAGTAGGTTTGTGTTGTTTTTTTTTTGATGGGAGTAGCTAGATGTAGAATTTACTTGCCCGACAACCAAGCTGGAGTTATTATCACACTAAGGATACAAGCTTTGTCTTCTTATCATAACGTAAAATGCTTGATGTGCCTGTAAATCTTCACGGACAAAAATTTTAAATATTTCTTATCTAGGCAGAGCCAAGAAACAAAACATTTAATTAAACAGGCCAATGGTACTTTGCTTCTGGAAAATGTTTTAAATAACAGACTGATTTTTTTATCCAATATGATTTTTAAATTAATAAATAAGTTTTTATTTTAAATACATTAATGTGTGTTTGAACATAAACATACTGTATAAACAGTTCCTCATCACAAAAAATAAAAATAGACACTGATAATATTCTCAAGACTGCATCTGACATGCTTATTGAGCTAGAGTTGGGAAGACACACTCTGTGTTTGTGAATAAAATCGGTAGTTTTTAAACTCAGAGTAACTTGTAACTCCCAAAGACAATGACAGGTTGAAAAATACAAAATTCTGCATGGTGGTCAATTTAAAGGCAGAAAGCAATTTCACAAGGCAGGATACTGAGATATAAAGTTAAAAAGAAAACAATTCATGTACTTCAGGATTATGGCAGCAGCTGGCAGAGAACAAATATTTTAACAATATCTACTGCCCTTAAATGCAACCATTTGAATAGCAGGCACACTTACATAAGGCACAAACTGTTATTCGCTGAGGTTTCAGTTATGGTTTGTTAAAAACATGCCCCAAAAATGGAAAGGGAAACAAACAAACAAGCAAACAAAAAGGGCATAAACCTCATCTGAAGCCTCTTATTTTCAAAAATTTCTAGTCCACCAGCAGTAAATTGGTATGAAGGGATCGAGCACCTTGCCCAGATAACGTACATGCCAGAGCTGCGCAGATTGATGCGAGGGACACAACAAGAAATTCTGGGAGATTTTTAGGAATGAAACAAAGGCAAAGCTTTTGCTGGCTGGAAAGAGACCCAACCCAGTACTGACCTTCTACAGCATCTAGTGGATTCTTACTGACACCCGGCTGTTTAAAACCTCTCACACTGAAGTAAAGCTGCTGTGGCACACTTCACTCACGAGGGGCTGTGAGGGCAGACACGGGACCAAGGTGTGACTGAAAGGAAGCCGGTAGGAGAGCAGCAGCAGGAAGGTACAGGCAGGGAAACATCAGGAAGCTTCAGTGCTAAAGGGAAGGCAGCTAAAGGGTATACCACTACTCTGACAACCTGGGGTAACAACAGGAGTTTAAGAAACGTATGACTACCACTGCGCAATACTGTTCTCGGAAGTTGATTCAAATAATATCACTGGAAGTACCTAATGTCGTCGGGGCCACAATTCATGTTTTCTTCTCAACTGAAGAGTATTTATTAACATGATACTTGATATGAGATGGGATTTATTGTTTCTCTGGTGCTGCCACGCTTTGTCTGTCAATTTTCAAGAATAAATATCAAATCTTTTCAAATAAAACAAACACAAAAGCTTGTATTATTTGAACATTTTGCTAAAATAACTCAGTCTTTGTGGGAAAACCTTTGCTGGACAACATTTCATTTTATTCCTATGCCCCCATTAACATAGTAAGTATGTGTTTGGATACAATTACATCCAGCTGTGTTTTCTTTTTGTGTTGCTTTTTTAACTGGACTACCATAGTTCAAATACTGAGATGCCTATCAGAGTCCTCTGCTGCAAGATTCCCATTTAGTATGTAGTATATAATTTGCATACTAATACTGTAAATAGTTTTCAAACAGATTTCCTGGAAGACATGAAACCTCTTCTATATGTGTAAATAGAATGCTTATTCCTTTCAGGACTAATATTCTGTATGAAAACAGTTCCCCCTCCACACACACAGAGGAAAGTCTTGCGACCTTGTTGAAATTGTCATACAGCAAGATCATAACCAGGGTAGAATTTGGCCCTCATCTGCTTTTAAATAGCTGGCTGAAAAACTGTCATATATTCAAAGGAAACTTAGTTTCTTTTCATCCATCTGTTAGCATGCCCTTATCTCAAAGTACAAATGTCATTGAATTAATTTACAGCAAAGGACATGCCAGTACCGTCATGGCAAATTCATTGTTGAGATAAATGGATGCAGATAAATAATATAAAAAAACATATATCGAAGATTTTTTAATCCCTACTTCAATTATTGGACAATGACATTAGTACGAATTCCAAGGAGCACAACTTTCTACTGATGCTGTCTAGGAGGCTGCATAATAGGATCCTGCCAAGAAACACAGTGGAAGGAGGAAGCCTCCTCTGCAAGGAAAGGGAGTCCAGGAACTCCAGGTCCAAGAACTTACATGCTTGCATCTGGCTACAGCCAACATTCGAAAACAGCAACCACCTGAGAGCATGTTTAGTTAAAAACAATCCACTTGATATTCATAATCTTTCCCTGATAACTGTGGCAACAGTGAATTAATTAATTAAGCCCTTGTAATAGTGCTAACCTAACAGTGAATTAATTTTTTGACACCTGTAGCAAGTCTTTGGAAGAATTTGTTGTTTACATCAAATGACATGCTTTAGCCATGGCACATTTCCATCCAAACAGTGCAGAATATGTAATATTTGCAGTCTGTTTGCTGTGCGAAGTTGCACACTCCAAGGGCCTGGCTACATAGCCAATTGCTATGTAGATCTATTGCCATAGATCAATTGCTATCAATACCATTTTGTGTAAAAAGCTGTTTGCTATGATGTAATTCTAATAATCCTCAACAGAAAGTAAATTGTTTATAATGATGTCATTTGTGTTTTGATTTTTTTTTTCTTTCTAAAAGAATATGGCAACTTAACTGTGTGTCCACTTAAGCCAGAATAACCAGAAGTTTTCTTGTGTCTGAGACGAATACACCCGTGTATGTGGGAGGGAATAAGCTCATGCATTGCAATAGGCTGGGAACAGTCTCTCTGTATTGCTTGTCTGTAGAAAACGATCTGAGGGAGAAGCTGAACGCGAGTCAGCAGTATACTCTTGCAGCAATGCAGACAAACCTCAAACCCAGCTGCATTAGTACTAGCACAGCCAGCAGGCAAAGGAAGTGGTTATTTGTTTCTACATGACATCATGAGGATACACCTGGGATACCAAGACTAGTTTTGGGCCCCACAAACAACATAAGAAATACGTTCAAAACAGAAAAGTCCAGTAGATGAACAGACTTTTTTCTGCTTGCAAAAGGGGAGAGCTAACTGCTGTCTTCTGCTGCCTATAGGAGGCTTTTAAGAGCTAGACCTGTTCTAGAGATGCACCAGGAAAGGACAGGAGACAGTAGCCAGAAATTGCTGTAAAGGAAATTCCAGTTGGCTATAAAGAAATGTTCTTCATAATAAAAGGAAGAAGTTGCTTCATAGAGGCTGTGGAATCTCCATCCTTGGTGATTTTCAAAGCTTGTTTAACCAAAGGCCTGGACAATCTTATTCAACTCAGATGTTTGCACTGCTTTGAGCAGGAGGTTGGACTAGAGGACGTCCAGAGGTCCCTCTCAGCCTACATTTCTGTGGTACAGTCTATGATCTTCACAAGCGGCAGGATTGAAATTCAAATAAA